TTTATTCAATTGGCATATTACTCAATGCCAAATGTTTCCATTAAAAAAAAAAAAGCCGAAAATGTTTCGCTCTTTGTAATTTGCTTCTAACCCCGGAAGATCCCACTGTAGCGTGCAAGAAATTTATAAACTTTATTCTGATCGACTCTGTAAGTGTGGTAAACCCTCCTACAGTAGAATGAAAACTCTTCCTCCTCTCATAAACACTAACTGCGAGACTTGCTAGGGAAGAGTCGTAGGCAGCCGAGACGTAGTCTTCTGACTGTGTGCGACTTCTGTCGAACTCTATGCTTTGTCAGAAAGGTACCCGGACGAAGCTATTCCGGAGGTAGACAGACCAAGAACCCGTTTATACGGGTTGTAAGGGAATGTTTTTTGGCCGAGCCTACGGGCTCGGGGAAACCCACGTTAAACTCGGCTTTGTGCCACATACATTCCTCGTGGGGGGACTGTTAAATATAGAGTCGTGAGCAGTCTCTGACTGTATGCGACTTCTGCCGAACTCTCTGCTTTGACAGAGAGGAACCCGGACGAAGCTATGCCGAAAGGCAGAGTTTCGTCCGGGGTGGTAGACAGACCCTGAACTCATTTATACGGGTTCTAAGGGAATATTTTTTAGCCGAGCCTACGGGCTCGGAGAAACCCACGTTAAACTTGGCCTTGTGCCACATACATTCCTCGTGGTGGGGACTGTTAAATATAGTGTCATAGAGAAGCGGAGACGCAGTTTTAATCTACCGTTCGGACGCACACCTCTATCTGCTTATTACTAACACTCTTGCTTTGTATATTTGTGCATTTTCGATACACTTGTTCAACCTACCTTCGTCTTCCGTGTCTTTCTTTTTGGTCCCTAAACAGGCCACAACAGTAAGCTTATCGCTATTTCCACAGTTCACTTGTACTTCATACGTTGGTTACACCAGTTCAGGCCTTTACATCTAGGAGTCAAAACAGCCTCATTTATTCCACTTTCCAGAGTTAAGAAGAAAGTATCACGCAGCTCTTTCCCAAGAACTGACACTTTGTTGAACGATCTCTCGCATGGGTGCTTCCCTGAAAACTACGATCTTAACCTCTTTAAGTTATCTATCCGCGTGATCTTCACTCGTTAACACCCCCTCTTTTGTTCACACCTCATTTTTCATGACCACTTTAAGAGTAACCCTCTACATTGAGTGACTTTCGAGTAATGTATTGGATGAATTGTAGTATAAAAATGTATTATATTTTTGAAAACTTGATTTCATCATTTATTACTTGCCGAACATCTGTTCTATGAACAGAGAAAAAATTCCTGGGATGAGGGGCTATTATTATCTACATTATTTACCTTCGGACTATTGTCCTTATCTTTGTTGTTGTTGTTATCATAGAGTTTCGGCCCTTGTGTCCTCCGGTTTTCATCAGATGTATATCAACCAGAGTAACGTATAATGAATTCTGAACTGAACCCTTTATTTAATCTACGGAGTTAGACTATTCTCGTCCTACTGATTAGCGTCTAGTTCTTATTTCTATTACTGCTCAGTTATTGCTCGACTGTTTCCACTGAGAAAGTAGGCACTGCACGGATTGAACTACCAACGCTATAATCTACAAAACTATTGCATCGTAGGGTAATTCTCTGCGGCGAAGTTGGACTAAAACAAAACCTGCCTGCTGATTAGTATTACTGCTGAGGCCCGTCATGCTCGACTACTGCCGTTACTGTTGAAGACTTGGTGTCCTTTGTCTTTCTTTATTATCAGATCCTATATTGTATTTATTTATATGTTAGGCCTACTGAGGAGGTACTCATAGCCTAACATAAGCGCTGATTATTTCAGACGTTTAACTCTCTAATGTTCTTCCTTGCTCAAAATTTTCATTTCATTCAACAAGAACTGATGATTACCCCTTTCCCTCCATACATGATCAGCTATGCCCGATTTTATTGTCTCATTCCTCACTATGGTTTTTCGATGTCCCTTCAGCCTTACTTATAAGGGATGACTTCAGTTTAATATTCTTTGCCACAACTGCAAGGAATGGAGTACATTCTCCGTGTTAGGCTTTACTCGTCTTCGTAGAGTGGGGCCGCTCCCAAATACTGTCCTGATGTTGTATGGACCACAGATTTTCTGAATATTTTCCGAAAAGTCCTTGACGTAAAATAGACATTCTGTGACCCTTCTACGTCCATGTGAACATGATTGAAGGTCTTATTGAGATTACATGGCCCAGCGGAATTTATACAGCTTCCTCGTGTTGCCAAAGATATGAAGATGTTATCTATTTATTTCAGCCATGCTGTTGGATTTCGTGGTGCCGACCCTAAAGGCATTTTCAAAAAGTATTTCCACTTGTATATGTTTGCCATCACCGGTGCAAACGGTGAACCCATAGCCAAGCCTTCTTCCTGTTGGTATATGGCTAGCTCCAGTTGGAAGAATGTTGTCTGTATAAAGAAAGTCAACATTTTCGTCAGATTTTCTATTGGAATGTTAATACGTTCTCCCAGACAGGGGTGTGATTCCCAATCGGTTTCGAACCACTGTCAGGGCCTCATCTTTAGAAACTCTGGTGAACAGGCTTATCACATCCAAGCTTACCATCCGATTGTTATAGATGGGAGCCCCTCGGCTCAGTTTCACAAAGTGTCCTGAATTTCTAATTTAGGACGGCGACTTCGCAGTTATTGGGTTGATTATATCTACTAGGTATCTACTCGGTGGGTGGGACATACTGATTCCCTGCAGCTGACGATAGGACACAAAGGAATATCAGTTTTATGGAGACCATGTATTAGATAACAAGTGTGGATTCTATTTAAATCTTGTTTGTAACCTTACATTATGGCGACAGAAAACAAAGTTCGAGTTTCAGCTGTATCATCTTTGCACTCATTTTGTACCAAAAAGGTTTGAATCGGCTTCACCCTACGGCCTGGCTTGTCGTTAGATATCTTGTCACTGACATGCCACGATGTGTATCAACGAAGAAAGTAGTTAGGAGAAAACTCGTGCAAACCACACACTTACTGAAACATTAGAACCCCAAACCTCTTTGACCCATAGTCAACCTTGAGAACTATCTTTTCCCCAAATCTTAAAAGAAAATATTCGTTTAGGTTAAAATAAATAAAAATGCCGCGCCCGTTCAGGACGTATTTGGATCATGGATCTACGCAGATTTGTTTTTCGCTATTGCCAGTGAATTGCCACGTCTTGTGGTTTCCTTCTCCACATTTTCGAATTCAGAGTTTTTCCTTTCCTTAGACAGATTGACAACCAAATATAGATAGCCTGGGCTGCCTGATATTTAATCCATAGCGTGAGGAGAAAGAGGTGGATTTATGCCTTTCTCAAAGACATTTGTGTGATAGTGAATGCGAGTAGCAAAGTCAAAATTTGAACACGGGTTTCAATAATAAAAACGGCAATAATAAAATAATAATAATTAGAATAACAATAATGCCAACATTAATAATAATAATAATAATAATAATAATAATAATAATAATAATGATAATAATAGCAATAATAACAATAACAGTAGTAATAATAATACCGATAATAGTTAAATAACAATAATGCCAATAACAATAGTAATAACAACATAAAAATCAATAACATAAATAAAAAAACTATCACAATGATAATAATGAGAGGCATATTTTAGTGTCCAGATTTTATGTCTTTTCTCTACTGACACATTCCACGTCTGTGTATGTCGAGTGAATAAATAAAGGCTAATGGCGCGAGTGGTAAGAATCTGTATTTTTTGACAGGAGTCTCGAAATTAAGGCCAGGGCTTTTGCAATTCTGCTTAGGGTGGTGATAGAATTACAGTGCCATCAAGAGAAACAAAATCCGGAATTTGAACACGGCTTGCCTATTCCATTTCCGGCACCGATATCCTTTACACCACCCCCACATCCCATATGTATACGTTCATTTGTAATCGAAGCTCAGATTGTCTCGAGTGTTTGCGATTAACCCCTTACCTGCCATGATCCTCATTTGGAGATCCTTTAAAATTAACCTCACTACATGTTATTCCTTGTATTTACATTGAATTGCTTACATACATTGCATTTGCAGAGGTATATTTTACAACACTTAGCCTTTAAAGTTTTTATCATTAGCCATAAGAAGACACTTTCTGTCGTAATTTTACATTTCACGAGTAGAAAAATAATGAATATTTAAAAAAGTATTTTTTTATTATTTCTAATCAATATTATTTTTTGATGTTTTATACACATATATATTTGATGTTCTAGTTTCTATAAAAATGACAACGGTAACTACTGAAATTAAACATAAGGAATAAATAAACTCCTAAGACACCTGTCTGGGCCAAAAATGTGCATTAAAAAAATTTGGCAGTCAATGGATTAAGGAAAGTGAAGCGGCGAATCGACTCAAATATGGTTGAAGCCGAATGTATTCGTTTATAAAAACCAATGTGAATATTACTATATTGGTATTTTGCTACTAATTTCAACCAGTCTTCTCGAATTAGTAGACACCATACTGATTTCTAATTTTAAACGTTACTATACCACCCAGTTAATTAGATGTCTGTACCTACAGTAGTAATTATATAGTCACACCTAATCTCTATAAGTCCTACAGTATTCTTATAGGAGATAAAGTCAAGGGATATCACCTCATCCCAGAGAAGACTTTGTGGCTTAACTTCTTATAATGAATTCTTTCAAACGAGCAAGCTTATTTTGCTGCATGCAACCCTTACTTGGCACAAGCATTATAGTAACCCTCTACATTGAGTGGCTCTTAGGCCTCGTATTGGTTGAAAATTAATTAAAAAAACACATAATTCGGAAAAAGAATGAATCCGTTGTCAATTGTTAGCTTATAAAATTTCACTGCCTAACTTTCTCTAACTCCTGCATTTTTCTTTTTTATGGTTCATGCCTTTTTAAGGGTATATTTATCTTTTCTTCACCCGACGAAACTACAACTTCTAATTTTCACCCCACTCGCCATCTGATGCCATCCAGATCCTACAAACCTTCAGGTAATTATAAGATTTCGCAAACATTAAAAATACCATCTGACTCATCCACGGACTTATCCGAGAATTAATGCGAAACAGCAACTTTTTGATTAGTTCGCTGATTGGCTGGTATAGTGCACGTGATACAAAGGTCAACTGAGTACCTTGGTCACACGTACGCTTATATATCAGGGGGGAGGGGGACATGCTTAAGAGGTTCTTGGAGTGTGGTGTTAGGGGCGTGGACAGCCAGTCAATATTGGCGATTACCGGTGGTTGCTTTCTCACATCAAAGGTGTTGTTAGTCTCCAAAACTCTTTAGTGGTGTGTTAGCGGCGTCCAAGCGAAATAATCGAACCTTTCATTCCTTGTTTTTCGTATTGATTTATTCATTCAATCATTTATTCTTTCTTCATCTTCGTTTTTATTCATTCATTCATTTCTTTCTGACACATTTTTTTTTTTATCTTTAACTATTTTTACGCAATTTCTGTTTCTTTTTCGTTGAAGGGATTTTTTGGTCTTTTCTGTTATAATTAAAATGTCTTTAGATCTTTTTTTTTTTTATTTGTCTGCTTCTTATTCTTTCTTTTATTTCTTTCTCACTTTCTCTCATTAGAGTTTTCTTTCTCACATTCTATTCTTTATTTCTCTGACTCTTTCTTTTTTTCTCGTTTTCTTTCTCTCGTTTCTTTCCTTTTTCCGTTGTATCATTCTTTCCTTCTCACCCTTTCTTCTTTTCTTTTCCCCATTTCATATATATATATATATATATATATATATATTTCTTTTCCTCATTTTTCTTTTTCTTTCTTTCTTTCTTTCTTTCTTTCTCTCTTGTGCAATCGTTTTCATTCTTTTTTCACTTACAATTTCCCATTCTTTCTTATTCTTTATTACCTCATCTGTATTTTTCCTTCATTTATTGTACGTCATCTTTTTCGTTCTTTCTTGTCTTTTCTTCTTGCTTTCTTCTTCTCACTGACTTTTTTCCTTTCTTTTTCTCCCTGTTCATTTTTTTTCCTTTTCTTATTATTTTTCATATTAATTTCCTTTTTCTTCCATTTTTCTGTCCTTTTTATCTTTTCTTTCATTTTCTTTTTATCTCTTTCTCTCTTCTCACAATTTATTTGATTTATTATCCGTTTCTTATCATTAGCACTTTTCACTAGTTCTTTCTTTCTTTTTCTTTCTTTCTTTCTTTTTCTTTCTTTCTTTCTTTTTCTTTCTTTCTTTCTTCTTCTTTCTTTATTTTTCTTTCTTTCTTCTTCTTTCTTTATTTTTCTTTCATTCTTTCTTTCTTTCTGTCTTCTTCTTTCTTTCTTCTTTCTTTCTTTCTTTTTTATTTTTTCTTCTTTCTTTCTTCTTCTTTTTTCTTTCTTTCTTTCTTCTTTTTTCTTTCTTTCTTTCTACTTTCTTCTTTCTTTCTTTCTTTCTTCTTTATTTTTTCTTCTCTCTCTCTTTCTTCTTTTTTTCTTTCTTCTTCTTCTTTCTTTCTTCCTTCCTTTTTCTTCTTTTTTTGGGGTCGGTTAATTTCCACTTCCTCCACTTTTCATTGAATATTCCTCTTAATCGCAAACATTCCAACGGGAGGGACAAATAAAGAAGAAATGACATAGCACCCCCCCCCCCCACCAACCCTACTTAAAACATCTATTTTTCCACTGATGGCCGGTAAAAAGAAAATGTCACTTATTGTCTGCAAACACAATCTACAATGAAAAAGTCAGTGTCGTTTGAGGCTGACGTTTATTTCTTTTATGTTATCAGCAGAAAAGGGGAGGTAAGTGCAGAGGTAAAAAAGAAGTAGAATTTGTCTGGTTTTACTTTAATAAAAATATATTATTCATCATAATAGTTTGCTTTTTGAAGTACAATGCTAACACAGTTCTATACGTAAAGGTTTATTTCGAGAACAACCCGTAGAAATGATTTCTTCAGGGTAAGATCCCTACAGGCGGGGTCTGGGCCCTATCGCCTTGGTCCAACAACCAATCTAGAAAAAGAGCTCTGGATTCAAAATCATCTTCAAAAGGAGTAGTTACCATCTGGTTATCTTATAACCACAAATGCTACAGCTGTAGCCCACGAGTTACGGGATACGTGATCATGAAACTAACTTTAGTCAGGCACAAGGACATGATATTTGGGTATGAGGTGGGCTTCGAACTCACGGCTTAAATGAATAATCGACGTGACCAGCTTGCTAAACATCTCTTTAGAATTTTGTTTTTCCAGTAACTAATATCAATAACTTCATTGGTCACGACTGTAGTTGTTATATTTTTAAATGCCAAGTCTTTTCAGGACGTAGATGATTATGGGTCTTCACAGCCTCCTTTCTTCATCACCTGTGAATTACTATGAATTATTGAGATAGTGATTTTCCATTGGTTTCTTCTTGATTCTGAATTTGTTCTTCTCTTAATCGGATTACGGTCTCATCACGTTTAAACACCGGTTACCGTACGATCACCGGAGTTAAGCAACGTCGAGCCTGTTCAGTACCTAGGTGGGTGACCACTTGGGAATACGATGCTTTATAAGCTTTGATGTGCAAGTTGTGTAACGGATAATGGTTCGGAAATGTTAATCAGAGAGACGAGTTCCCATTCTGGTTGTGTTCATTACATTCACTTATACGCAACTACCCTTGGGAAAGGTATGAATCCACCTCTTATCCCCCAGCTATGGGTTAATTAGTAACACTAAGACATTATTATAAACAATAAAAAAAATTGCATACAAAATATTTAGATTTCGACATTAAATAACTCATATAGGTGTTGATATGCCACTAAACAACCAATCAAACCTTCTCTTAATCTAGGTGTCACCTTCCCTAAGACAAGATTCCTCACTTTTTTCTTGTTATTTAATGGACAAGAAACGGATTCATCAAGATATATATATATATATATATATATATATATATATATATATATATATATATACAAAGTCCAACAATTACTTTAAGACATTTTTTATGTTTATACGTTCTTTTTATAGATACAAATATTTAAGTAAATGCTCTGATTATAATAAATTATAATAAACAGTATTATTGACATTTACGGCCTGAATGTCCGAGAAATTTTCATAGTAAATATGCGTCCTCCGACAGGAATCGAACCTGTATCCTATACGGAACCGTCATATAGCCTGACGGGCTTTTGTCGATTTCGCCACAGAGTAGGGTTTTGGTTAGTTGTATTTATTATAAACGGAGCATTTACTTAAATATTTGTATCTATAAAATGAACGTATAAACATAAAAATTACTTAATATATATATATATATATATATATATATATATATATATATATATATATATATATATATATATATATATATATATATATATATATATATATATATAAGGCAGGATGTGTATGTGTGTGTGTGTAACGAATGCACGGCCGCAATTTTCGACGGATTTGCACCAAAATTTACATGCACATGCTCCAAGTTAGCGGGAAGGCCAATACCGACTTTGCATTTCCCAACTCCCATCGATAGTGGAAATAATCGATTTTTTCATGCTTCTACGGCAGTTTTCATGTAGTTAGCGGCCATTTTCTACTGGCCAGAGTGAGAGCCTATAGCTGGCTGCCACGAATAGACAGTAAGATTCTATTGACCAGCGTGTGAGCCAACCGCTGACTGACACGAATGTTAACTAGCATGCTAGCATGCAAAAAAATCGATAGCTGCATTCGTCACTCGTGGGAAAAATTTAAATCTGCATGGCACTTTACTCCAATTGGCTCATTCGCTTGCTTAAACTCAACGTTGATTCTGATTCTGCAGAACTGGGATGTATGTGAAAAAGTATTTGTTGTTAACATTCTTTTTTCATTTGTTTTTTCCAGTTACGAGTCGTTATTTTAAAGCTGATCGTTTTGTGTTCATTTTGTTTAGTTCTTTTTTCGTAACAGATTTAATGTTTAGTATAGAGTTTAGAAAAAATTCGCAGTGTGAGATAGGCAAGAAGTAAGGCATGTAGCAACATAATCACGGCAAAAGGGCACTCCTTTAAAGGCAAGGAAGTGCAAAAGTCAAGTGATAGCGATTGCTATATGAGTCGTACGATTTTTGAATCAAGCAACGCCGGGCCATGCTGCTAGTATATATATAAAACGAAGGCAATATATTCGGCCGGCATTTGAAGTAGGAACACCAATTGTACCTCATGCGGCGACCTAAACCATGTCGTTAATGTTTACCGGTTGCGTTTGTTAAATTAAATTACGCACAAATACACTTGGGTTAGATAGGAGGACAGACCGCGTTCTCTTTCCTTGACGTGTCAACCGTTCGAGGAAGAAAAACTATGAATTCAAAATCAACGTGAAGAGGAATGGACTCCGTTCGGGTATCTTGACCCGCGCACATCACTACAATTGCGGCTGCAGGAGAGATGGCGGCATATACGACTCTAATGGCTTACCAGAACTGTGTGTGACCCGCACATTCAACTACAATTTAAAATGAGAACGGCAATCAATACAATAATAAGAAAAGGAAAAATAAGTATAATAGTGATCAATAATAATTAAAACAATAATGATATTAAAAGCAATAATAACAAAATTAATATTAATGACAAATTATAACAAAATTAATAAAAATAATAAAGATAATAACAATTACAATATCAAAAACATTAAGAAGAACAATAATAAAACGGACAATAATAATAATAAGATTAATAATAATGAGAATCATAATAACAATGCTAATATGAATAAGAATAAGAATAAGATTAATAATAATGAGAATCATAATAACAATGCTAATATGAATAATACTAACAATAAGATTAATAATAATGAGAATCATAACAATGCTAATGTGAATAATAACAATAATAATAATAACGATAATAATAGCAATAATAATAACAACGATAATAATTATATCAATAATAGTTACATAACAATAATGGTAACAATAATAGCAATAACAACATAAAAAATAATAATAGTATAAATAAAAAAACTATAACAATAATAATAATGATAGGCATATTTTAGTGTCCAGATTTTATGTCTTTTCTCTACTGACACATTGCTCGTCTGTGTATGTCGAGTGAATAAAGAAAGGCTAATGGCGCGAGTGGTAAGAATCTGTATTTTTTGACAGGAGTCTCGAAATTAAGGCCAGGGCTTTTGCAATTGTGTTTAGGGTAGGGACAGACTTACAGGGCCAGCAAAAGGTTCAGAGATTTTTGGCTAGCTTCTGTAATGAACGGAAACGAGGCGAACATCAAACATTCTTGTAAACAGTGAGAACGTGACAATGCGAGACTTTATCGATAATGAATGACTATGAATCGAATTGGGCGTAGGACTGGGGAGTGGCACGACGTAGGCTGGGTAAAAATGGCGACATCATAGATTTCACGACGGAAAGGATGAAATGGTTCACATCCCTCGTTTACATCCCTCAGAGGGTTTAAAGCTTGATTTTAAAATAAAAATGTCGGTGTTGGGGGTCGCTGCCAACAAATCTGTATATCTAATAGATAAAAGGATAATAAACTTTTTCGGGATTTTTTTTCAGATCAAAGTAGTAATTTTATTATTCTCTTCAATTAAATGAACACGACCTTAGACAAATTTAAATCCAGATTTTATGCCCTTAAAATATCACAGCAAAATAAAAACAAATAAATGCTTATCTGTAGACATCGATTTTCTCGTGTGTACACACTCTCTTGATGTTCAGACATTGAAAGAAAAAATAACGGCCAATGGCGTTCATAAAAAAAAAAAATATATTAGATCAGAAAAAATAATTGATAATTGTCAATGCTTCAAGTTTAAACAGTAAATGCTGGAAATATGAAACTGTTAACTCAGGTTAACAGATTTATTTGACACTAAAACTTGATTATTTTTACGATTCATTTAAGAATTGTCTATAAAATCATTTCTATTCTTGTAAAATCTTTTGGGAGGTAATTTTGCGTATTTTCAAATACTAAATATTTCTTAAATAATCCACTTATTTGTAACCTGTGACTCTTTGGAGAAAAACGAACAGATTTCATCAGAGTATCGGGGAATAATGTTAAAATTTTGCTTTCGTCAGAAAAAAATGCTAATAGATGAAATTTTAATATTTCCAATAAGAAAAATACTTTACTCCAAAACTAATTTAAATTAACTGGAAGGAGTTAAAATTAATGAAATTGTTGATTTCAACGCCATCTTTAGCCACCTTTCATTAGAATGTAATTCTCCTCATTATAAAATCTTTCAAAAATAAAATATACTTTTCTGAAACTATTTGAGGAATATTAGCTGATTTAAGGTATAATTAATCTGTTTTGAAGTCATATTACTTTTAGTTTAACTATCGCAGAAATGCATTTTTCACACAGAGGCAGATGTTTTGATTCGGTGTTGACAGATCTATTGACAAATTGACAGCCGGAAGTTTATCTACTTTTTTTCTACGAGGGATATAACTGTAAAAAATACTTGAGGAATATAACGTGAACGCTTTTTTATATAATTTTTAACTACCCAGTAATCTTTAAAATTTAGGAAAATATACGTCGTAATCTAATTTTTATTGAATTAAATACTAATAAATAATAATTTAATAATAAATATAACTCTTACATAATAACAATATCACCGATACAAATTAATTATAGAAATTTAAAAAAATTAAAACTGTATAAATAGCTCTAATAAAAATTTAAAAAAAACAAAACAATTCTCGTAAAAATTCATCGAAAAGATTTTTAAGACAATAGTGTTCCTAATATATCTTATAAAAGCAATTAAAAGCTTTTCTAATTAAATAATGTCTTAGTTTTATTATATTTTTATTTTATGTTTCACATCAGATTTTCGGAAAGTATGGTTCCTGTTTTACCAAATAAATTGATGATATAAATTCTTCAAACAGTTCTGCTTTTAATTAATATGAACATTAAGCGGTAAAAAAAAATTTAATTTCTCAATATTTCATAAAATTAACAAAATGGTGGTTATCGGGTAACAGATGTAAAAATAAAAGTTTTTACCATAATTTAAAAAAAAAAATATTTCTTAAATAATTTCATTCATTTGTGAATAAGTTCTGAGAGTTTTATTAAAATCCGACAATTATTTGATTTTTGCAAAAATTTCCAAATATATGTGTTTTTCAACGCAAAAGAAACGAAAATATTTCCTATGCTAATCTTTACTACCACCATTGATGCAAGAAAAACAAGATTTTTAAACAAAATTTGGAATGTTTTAAAAAAGAGAAAAAATATAATTTAATAATAAAAAAATCCGTTGGTCTCTCGTTTTAATAATAACATTAAGATTTTGACGATAAAACTTTGTTTTTATTAATTTGGGGGCATTTTTTTCGTCATTGTATACTAATTTTCTTAGCGAATCTGTGGAATTACCTATATTTACATATAGTGGATAGCTGCTCGGATTGAGGAATCAGAGAATCGAGTTCGAATCAATTACATTCACTTACGTGCTAATATCCTTGGCAAAGGTATTAATCCTTTTCTTCTCCAGTCAGGTATGGGTAAATAGCAGGGCACACTGGGTTTTCTGTTGCTAGGTGTTTTCTGTTGCTAGGTGTTTTCTGTTGCCATAGCAGGATATGACAACACATCTATAAAAAATTAAAACAAGCTATCGTTCAGAGTTACGTTCGGTGACAGGATAAACTTTTTAAAGAGGAAGTGAAGTCACATACAGAGTGATAAAGGTTAAAATGCACACAGTCCGGTCACGTGCCATCCGTATGACTTACAAATATATTTGCGTGTTTAATTTCTTACTGCAACACATCCAAATAATATAACTGTTTATTTCTAATTATTTCCTCAGCTTGGCTAAATTTTGACACAAGGACAAAATTATAGAACACCCATTGAGTCTCAAACTTAAAAACAAAATAATTTCAAACAACAATAAAGGACATTATTATGTCTGGAAACAGATTTATATATGAGCTAATACGATTTTTGTATTTAATCTAGCACAAATCAGAACGGGTGATGGGTATTGAATATATTGCGTTTGTCTTCTATAACGGAATTACATGGAGACACTGTAGCAAAAGAAAGCCGTTGTCCTTTTTGACAATTTTCAAAGTCTCTAATTATATAGACGTTATTATACATTAAAATCCGGGATGATATTGCTTATCAAATGTATGCAAATGATTTAAAATGAAAAATACCTATCTAAGGGGAGCTATTTTCAAAGAAGTTTATGCTAGACACATTTAACCCATATTTCGAACTGATTTTGTTTATTATGAAAAAAAAATTCTTTGGCATTGTTTCAGATTGGGTTTTCGTTTTCTAGAAACATTAGGAAGACTTGTAAAAATCCCCAGCGAATTCCATTTTTTTTCTCAAAATGAGACACTGAATTTCTAGTTAAAAGATTTTTTTTTGGTAAAATAGATATGAATGAAAACCGAATATATTTCTAAACTGCGATTAGAACAAATAAAAAAAAATATATTTACAATATTGTCCTCATCTTCATTGCCATATTCACAACGTTTCAGCCGTTGTACGCTCTGGCCCTTTTCAGGTGATGGGAATTTCGAACCGAATATTTTATTTCGTCCACTAAGGTAGATTGTTCTAGTTGCACGTGCCATGCCTCTTCCGGGTGTCTCATTTATTTACCTTTAACTCAACTTTCCAAGATTTTTTTATTCACCACTGCTCGTACTGAACTCACAACTCTTTGGCTCTAGTCACTGGATCTAACCAACGCCTTTATCCACTGGGCCATGGGTCCTTGAGGGAAATAACTGAAACATCCGGAAAAGTTATGGCACGTGGAACTAGAACAATCTATCCCGGTGGAGGAAATAAAGGGTTCGGTTCGAAATTCCAATCAGCTAAAGAAGGCCGAAACGTTGTGAATATGGCAATGAAGATGAGGATAGTAGTTCGAATAATGAAAATAATGTAAATAATTATAATACCTCATCTCAGAGATATAGAGAGAAATAAAAAAAAATGTATAAGGCCTGAGAATGACAGTTCATTGCAAACCATCCGCACATTTGAATATATCCAGCTTATAAGACAAGTTTGTTTTGTACTCAACTACGAATCAATGGTATCGATTATGATCGGTGATGAGATTAGACACGCGTCGAGAAGCTGATTTTTTTCAGCTATGAAATGATGAAACAATAACTGGATTTTTACAGCCAAGTGATATGAAGATGACACAGTGCTGATAGCAGACAAATAGGATTTGATAGGCTCGACTATAGTCCGATTCACACTGCTCCACGATCTTTTGAACCGGAGAAGAGATATGTCCCATGTTTCCCGTGTAGGATTGGGTTTCCTGTTCCTGCCAATGTCTCCGCATACTCTTTCCCTTCCAGTAGACCCCCTCGTGTCTTAGTGGCGTTAGTTGATTTTAAAAAAAAAGGAAACAAAGACACACAAAGGAAACAACAAGGACTCCTGATGAAGAATTCCTGGTTGTCAGCAAAAGAAATATCCCAACATGCAAATTAGAAATTGGAGTTACCAAAAATCAAACAAGTAAAACAATTTAAATATCTGAGAATTTCTGAGGACGGAAAGTGCGACATTGAAATCCGAATACGTAAAGGACACTTATACTTAATATCCGAAAGAGACAGTCGAAATATCTAGGACACATAATGAGGAAAGAGGGCTTGGAAAATTTGATACTCACAGGACCGTTTGAAGGCAAGAGGGACAGAGAAAAACAATGCATAAGCTAATTGAGTAAACTGCTGACAGATAAAGGTTTAGGAGCGATAACAAAAGATAACATTTATTAAGAGCTACGAAGGACAGGAAATTGTGGAGCGCCATGATTGCCAACGTCCTGAAGGGACACGGAACATAAGAAAAGATCGCCTGTACTCGCTTTTTGATTTGTAAGGTTTCGCATTATGTCAGTGATGAGGCATTATCACGGTACCTGATACAGCGTGCAGAGATGAGCGTG